TTTTCAAATATAACTTTTCATTAAAAGATTAAACATTTTTTCCAAGTCTTTGAGTGTATTTCTCTCTTCTCTCAATTCATCTCTAAGTATCTTTATATACATTTTCTCCTTTTCCTTACATAATTTGTAAGCTAACCATCTAGTTGGTTTATTTGCATTTTCAAAATAGTTTAGCATACCTTTTTTTGGCTATTAACTGTGTTAAAAGGCAATTCATTCGATGTTGTAAAAATTTTAGCTTGACTTTTATCTGTTCAGTTGATGGATCTTGTTTCATCTTTTCTTCCTGTTTTTTAATCTGATCTTGAATATGGAGGTAGTTTTCTGACCTCTGCTTCCTGACGTGTGCCGATTCTCTGATCATCCATCCTCTAGCAAAAGTTTGGAATGCATCCCATACAGTCCTGATGGAAAATTCTGGTTGCATATTTTGTTCAAAGAACATTTGAAACTCTTTTTTAGATTCTCTTAAAATTGGTCATTCTTTAAAATAGAAGTATTCAGCATCCATCTGTTTTTTTTTGGGGGGGGTGTCTTGTATTACAAGCATAACCGGATTATGATCTGCAAAGGTTGCTGGCAAAATCTCCACTTCTATAATATCATTTATCATTATTATAGAAGTCCAGCACATATCTATTCTTGACCACGACTTGTGTCTTGCTGAATAGAAAGTGTAATCCTTTTTTTGTGGATTTCTAACTTTCCATGCATCCACACAATTGTTTTCTTCTACTAATTGTAAAAATGTGGAAGGAAGCTCATTTCCTTGTTTCTGTTTTCCAGTTGTTGTTTTCCTGTCTGAAGATCTGTCAAAGACAGCATTATAGTCTCCCATTATACAAATTTAATCAAAGTTTTGTTTGAAGATCAGTTCTTGTAACAGTGTGTAAAATTTCTCCTGTTGGTTGGGTGCATAAATATTTGCAATCAGAGTCCTGGTGTATTTGCACCAATAGAATACGTCCGTCTTCTGAAGCAAAAATGGTTTCCAGATGCAAATGTTCTTTAATGTAGGTCACAACAGCTCTTTTCTTCTTCTCCTTATCTGAAGAGATAAAGGCTTTCCCAAATTTCTTAACTTGTAGATATTTCTGGTCTGCATTTTTATACGAGTCTCTTGCAGACAAATAATGTCTAATTGCATTTTTTTTCAGTTATTGAAATACCTGTCTTCTTTTTGGGGGTGCATTTAGTCCATTTACATTTATTGAGATTATCTTTATTTTTCTTCTATCCATCTTGTGGGTGAGTCTGTGATTCCATGTCTTGTTTGTCCCTCCTTTGCTGCCTTGTAAGTATTTGGGATATTGTGGTCTTTGGAGCTTTTTTAGATGATGTTTTCTTGGTTATAGTAACAGTTGTTGAGGATGTTCCTGAAGCGCCTTGAAGGTCCTGATCTTCTTCTTCTGTAGTTTCTGAGTTATCTTCTTCGGTTTGGAGGTCTCCTCTATATGTCTTCAGAAAGACCTCTGCCTTGAAAGTTGAGTTGATTCTATACCTTTTGCCTTTATAGGTAAAGAATACACTTTCTGGGAGTAGCCATTTATAGGAAATCTCATTTCTTCTCAAAGTGGCTGTAAGATTCATGTATTCTTTCCTTTTTTCTCCAACTGTCCATGGAATTTCCTTTAAAATCTTTATTTCTGTGTCCTCTATCTGTAAAGGTGTTTCATTTGATGCTTTAAATATTTCATCTTTTATAATTCTCTTATGGAATCTCACATGCACTTCTCTGGGCAGTTGATTTCTTCTGACATAGGCTGAGTTCATTCTAAATGCAGAATCTCATCCAAGATTTCCTCTGTTTCTTCTATCTTCATACACTTAGCCAAAATATATGTCATCATTTTCCTTGTATCTTCTTCTGGAATATTTTGAAATCTTAAAATATATGCTGCTTTGTCTAATTCAAGCTTCATAAGTTCTTGTTCCAAAGAAGTCTGTTTAGTGTCCATGGCTTGAAGTTTATGTTCTGTTTCATTTGCTTTATCTTCCAGTTTAGAGGTTGTTTTATTCAATTCAGCAATCTTCTGGTTGTTCTATAACAATTTCTTCTGAAGATCCTCCATCTTATTTGAAAGCTGCTGTGACATATCATTCATTGTATCTTTAATAGGTTCTACAGCTTCCATAACTGCAGCCATTACAGTAGATGAAACTGTTTCTTGGACCAATAATTGGAGTTCTTTCATTGTAGCTTGTGATAGACTGGAGGCTACCAATTTTGTTATACCTGGTGAACTGGAAGCCTGTGGTTGTTTTTTTTTTTTGGGGGGGGGCTATTTGTACCTGCCATTTTAGAGTAGAATTGTATATCAAAACGAAAGAGTCTCAGCAATAATGAACAACAATAATTTCAAATACACCTCTATGCCCACAGTACCTCTTATTGCTTATAAACAACCTTATTTTAGACACAATACAGATAAAGTACTTCAAAACTACATAAGACCTACAATTTTATCAGTTGTGTACATAACATGCTGGACAAGAAGTAACTTAACAGAACAAAGCCAGGTTTTTTGTTGTTGTTTTTTTTGTTATGGAAATGGATTCTTAGTAAGCTCTTCTTTCTCCTTCTTATATAGGAAGAATTAAAAAAACAAGCGAGAAAAGAAACAAGGGGGAGAAAACAGAAACCCCAGTAGTTGTAATCCATATATTAAAATATTGAAATGTGAAGGATTATAGCCTGGTTGCCATGTGAGTTAATCTCTGGTTTTTATTTTATTTATATGCAAAGGATTTTTTCCTTATTTGTAATTCCAAGGGAGAAGGTCTAAATCAAAATTTAAAAGGAGTTAAAATATCCAAAAGTCAGCCAGGTAGTCTCAGAAATTTCCAAGAGAAATATTATATTCCACTTTATATTTCAGTAGAGGAAGTTTATGCAGCAAATAAAACTTTAGCCCTAAAAGTCAGCAAGGAAGTGCTTCTCTAGTCTCTTGCTAGCCACTGGAAAGGAGGAGGGGAGGGGGGGGGAAATCTCCTCCTCCTCCCGGTCTTGATCTGTGTCTTTTAAAATTTTAAAGGGCTTGAGTGCCAGAAGGGGGTTACTGGGATTGTTGCTTAGCACAGTTACTCACGGTGATCTTTTAGAATATTATTAGGTAGAGTTGCTGGGATCCCTCATAGGTGGGTAGCAACAGCTAGGCGCTCATGGCTGCCATGGGTGATCATCTCCGCTTCTTGCTGGGGACGATCCAGGGCTTCCACTCACCTGCTGCCACCAGTGAGGAGCCCGGATCAAGTCCCTTGCACTGCACCCCTCTCTGGAGAGTGCAGTGGAGTTCAGGAGCTCCTGAAACTCCTCTGGAGTAAGTGTGAAGCTGGCGGTGCCTGGGAGTGAGTCCCAGTGCCGTCTGTCTTGCCATGCTGCAACCCGACAGCTCCTTTTATGCTGCCTTTCCACTCAACTTGGGGTCCTCAGGGCGGCAAATAAAAAATGTAAAACCAAATTTACATATACACACACAATTTAAACAACAAACAAAATACATAAATGAGAATGATGGTCAGTGAGTGCATGCCAAATAAAACAGAAAAGTCTTTACCCACTGATACAGTGAGAAAGGCAAATCTCCTTGGGGCAGAAATTCCAGGGTTTTGGTACTATGACTGAGAAGGCTGTCTGTTGGACTGCCACCTGTCTACCCACAGTTGACAAGTGCATATGAGGCAGGGCACCTGAAGATGACCATAATGGGTGGGTAGGTTCATATAGTAGTAGTAGAAAAGAGTAAGAGTCTAGCAATACCTTAAAGACTAACAAAATTTGTGGTAGGGTATGAACTTTTGTGAGTCCCTGCTCACTTCTTCAGATACAGCTAGAATGTGAGTCCGTCTTTCTTATATATTGGAAAGTGGTTTCAGATGCCAAATGACATTAGTAGACAAATGAAAATAGCAGGTGTGATTGGATTAGGTGATGTTTGAGCAGCAGCTCTGCTAGACCAGGACAGTATTGTCCGGCCACATGACCACGGAAACGTCTTTGGACAGCGCTGGCTCTTCGGTTTTGAAACGGAGATGAGCACCGCAACCCTAGGGTCGGACTCGACTGGCTTTCGAGCAAGGGAACCTTTACCTATATAAAACCCACATTCCAAATTTTTATTTTTTGTATTTTGTATGTTTGACTGTTGGCTTTGCCCTGGAGAAAACATGGAATCTTGTTTTCCCCATATGAAGCAATGGAGACAAATAAGATAAAGTTGGGGCACCTCGTTCAGGAGCCCTTGGAATTGGCCCCCTTGTTCCAATTCACTTGAAAATTGGGGGATATTTAGTGGACAGGCAGTATTAGGTCCTTTGCAATTGTGGTTTCATTTGGTTGAAAAATAGGCACTCCCAGCCCCCCCGCAAAGGTCCCTCATAGGGAATAATGAAACGTGAATAGTTCCAGAATTCCCCCCAGACCCAAATGCCGATGTTTGTGTCCTTAATGAAATCTGATTTTTAAAAAACAAAACATTTTTTTCCAGGGGCAAATCCCTAGCATTCACCAATCCTTCCTGAACTATCATGAACTTCCTATGGAAGTATATTTCAGAAGTATATCTCTGAAATACAACACCCATTTTTCCAAGATGGTGATCAAACCATGGAATATAAAATTTGGCAGCCTACATTTTAAATTCATCTTTTTTTTTTAAATTAGCACTTGCTGTTTTGCTGCTAATTCCCCCCAAATTACTTTTACCACATTTCCCAGAGGCTTGGGGTGGTGGGATATTTCAATCCATGAATGAGGTTTCCAACTATCTTAAACAAATTAATATTGATAGAGCATTTTCTTTTAATATTATTAAGTTTCCCACCAAATTTATTGCAAGTTATTAAATTTAGAAAATTATGGGGCTGATGGAGAGGAAGGTGAGTTGCAACAAACTCCTATGCTTGAAACAGTACATGGAGCAAGGGGTTGGCAAGATACAGTAGTCAACTAGGTTGAGACCATTTTCTAGAATAAGATGAAGAAAATTCCCATCACTGACCTGATTATGAAGGCATCTGTTAGGCTCTTCGACTGTGTACTGGCAATTGTGTCAACAAACATCTGTGCCTGAGATTTTAAGAATGCCTGTTCAGCACATGGATGCATTCCAAACAGTTCTGCAGAATCAGCCTCTGGGAGAGTTTGTAGATATGCTCTACAATCTTTTAAAGTATCAGCTTCAGAGATAGGCCGATATACCTGCAGAATGAATAATGCTTTATTTTCATCTTTACATGATAGTAGCCCAAAGTGATAATCTGTCACACTTTGTTTCCTATAAATTGCTTGTAAACTGTCTTCTACCCTCACACTTTCTCAAAAAGGAATGTTTGAAGCCCAGTGGTCTGATATTCAAGATAGGTCAGAAACCACATTTAAGAACAGAGCACCACAACATAAAAACACTACAAGTCTGCACACAAAGCCAGCAAGAATCATATTCATGCTTCTGAATGACATGTAGTTTTTAAAATGCTATTTATTTATTTAGAATCTGCTGACCAAGCCATGCTGATCCTTGTTACTGTAACCTCCAGACTGGCCGACTATAACATGTTGTATGCAGAGCTGCTTTTGAAAACTACTCTGAAGCTTCAGTCAGTATTAACTATAGTGGCAAAACTCCTGTCTGGGGTCAGCTTTTCAGCAATAGTGCTTTCACTTACTGCATTCCAGAAGGTGTGTAAAATGGGTTTATTCTAGCATGCATTTTGGTGGATTTGGCTGCATTATTTATTTATTTATAATATTTCTATGCCGCCTCTTCAGAATCCTGCTTGAGGTGGCTTACAATAAAAAAACCACAGTATAAAACACAGGCTATTAAAACACAAGCCATTAGACATAAACCGCATAAAAACTATCCATAAAGCAAAGCAACCCATTAAAAAGCTGGTAAGATAAACCTATAATTGAAGCCTAGATAAAAAGATGTGTTTCAGCTTGTTATCTAAAAGAAAGTAAGTAGGCACCAGGCGGGCCTCAACTGTGCATTTTAACTGTATTTTTAAAAACTTGCTGCTGAACTTTTATGTTGTTTTTGTGTCCTTAATGCTTTCGCTGCTCTGTTAGCCACCTTGAGTGTGAAGACATGAGGTAACATTTGTGTGTGAGTGTGTGTGTGCCGGGGGAGCGGTTCTAGGGGCAACAGTAGATTCTATGCCTGGTTCCCAATCTGGCACAAGTAACTTCTAAGGCTGTCAAGGTGATCCAGCTGAGCAGACCATATAAACCATCAGAGCTTCTATGTGAAATAAGAAAAAAGATTGTGCTTGGAAAACAGGAAGAGAAAGCCCAGGCCACCTTTGACACTTTGCATTGCTCCAAATGAAGTACATGCATGCATGCACACATACACAGAAAAAGAAATACTTTTATCAAGTTTCTGAGCAGGTTGGTGGGAATCATCATTCCATCTCCATCTGAGCTTAAGCTGATGCCTCTTTAAGGCAAAGTGGAGGGGGGAGATAAAGAAGGAAGGTGAGTCCCAGGTTCAAATGCTGATCAGTTATAAAGCTCACTGGATGACCATGGGCTACTCTTTCTCTCTCTCAGCATAACCCATCTCACAGGGTTGTTGCAAGAATAAAATGAGGGAAGCCATGTATGTCACCCGGAGGTTCTTGGAAAAATTATGAGAAACAAATTAGACATACAGGTGGCACAGATCACATTGCATTCCTCAGTTTTGCATTTCATTGCAATTTTTTAGCAGAGAGTTAATAGTTCCCCCACAAATTATCTGGTTGAGTCAGGCATATCAGCACATTTCGCCTTAAGCCAGTTTCTTGGCTTTTATCTCTCTGTCTCAGTAGTCCCCAATCTTGCTGAGCCTGTGAGAAATTCTGGATTTTGAAAACAGGTACTGGGTGGAACACAGACGAACTGTCTTGGAGCCAAATCTGTTGAGCAACAGTAGCCAGAGTGAGGTCTCACAGACGAACTGTCTTGGAGCCAAATCTGTAGCCAGAGTGAGGTCTTGGTCTTGGGGCAGGAAGGCTTGCTCCTATGAATTGCACTCTTTGAGATGGAACTAGGTGCGATTTTTTGTAGTTGACCTGGAGGCCAAGGCTTCGAAGGACTGCCAAGGCCTGCGACACTTGTTTTGTGAGAAGGTCTCTGGAAGTTGTGACTCAAAGCCAGTCGTCCAGAAACAGGAACACCGTCAGACCACAGAGGCGGAGATGTGCCACGACAACCACCATCGTCTGGGTGAAGACCCGCAGTGCCGTGCTGAGGCCAAACGATAGACTCCTGTATTGGTAGTGGCTGCCCCCTATCGCAAATCAAAGATACTTTTGATGGGAGGAGTGGATGGTTACATGGAAGTAGGCATCTTCGAGGTCGAGAGTGGCCATCCCACAACCCTGGTATAGGAGAGGTAGAATGACTTGCGGGGATGTCATCTTGAATTTCCGGCATTGTATATAGGCGTTGAGGCCGCAGAGGTCTAAGATTGGCCTCTGCCCGCTGTCCCTTTTGGGTACCACGAAGTATCGGGAATAAAACCCGAGACCCTGGCGGTGTAGAGGCACAGGTTCTATGGCACCCTTTGATGAAAGTGTGGTTACTTCTTCGAGGAGGAATGACGATGGGGGTGTGGTGACTACCCCAGAAAGGGGTGGATGCTCTAAAAACTCAATGGAATAGCCGGTGGTCAAGATGCAAAGGACCCATTGGTCCGAAGTAATGGCAGTCCAGGCATGTAGATAAGGATAGAGATGGGTAGGGTCTGAAAGTGTAGGCAGGACCAAGTCAAAGGCCCTGTTTGTTTGATTTAGGTTGTTTTGGTCTGGTCTGTTGTTGTCCAGTACTGTACCTTTGTCTGGGCTGATAGTGTTGTCTGCTTCCAGACGGAGACTGCTGTGGTTTGTAGCCCCCGTCTGGTGATGGTTTATTATACGGATGTCGAAAACTGTTCTGGGACCAAGATCGAGGTCAAAAAGGCTTAGAGGGACCAGAGACGCCTAATGACCTAGGGCTTAATGTTTTTATCCGTTTCTTGCAGGGCCAAATCTGTGGAAGCATAGAAGAACCCTTGGCCGTCAAAAGGTAAGTCCTCTGTAAGCCCTCGCATCAGCAGGGAGCGAGGTGGTTCTGAGCCAGGAATGTCTCCAAAGAACTACCACAGAAGACATTGTGTTTGAAAATATATCTAAGGCATGTTTGGAAGAGTTTATGATTTGTTTGGAAAGTAACAATCCTTCCTTTTGCAGTTTCCTGGCCTCTTGACGCTTGTGCTCAGGTACCGATGACAAAAAGTCGGTAAAACGCTCCCAGAACGAGTATTCATAACAGCCCATGCATGCAATGTAGTTTGAAGTTTTAATCCCAAGAGCTCCCGCGGAATAAAAATGGCGGCCCAGTAAGGAAGACCTGTCAAGAGTGGAATGCAGAAAAACAGGTTGCTTACCAGTAACTGGTGATCTTCGAGTGGTCATCTGTGCATTCACACCAATGGGATCTAGTGCGCCTGCGCTGGATCTGCCGGTGCCTAGCAAGCTCTCTTAAAAGGATTTTTGTGCCTGGCCCAACTGAGCATGCCCAGGAGCCCCAGTGAGCATGCCCAGAAGGGCAGGCACGGACATCCCGCCAGTTCCTACCAACCGCCGCGTATCAATCTCCTAACAAAACAGATAGAAGAAGACAGCAGCGGGGCAGGAGGGCGAGTGGTGTGAATGCACAGATGACCACTCGAAGATCACCAGTTACTGGTAAGCAACCTGTTTATCTTCTTCGTGGTCTCTGTGCTTCACACCAATGGGAGATTAGCGAGCAGTAACCTACCTGGAGGTGGGTGCTGTCAGGTGTTTACTGCTTAGCCGATGATAAAACCTGACGTCCCAGACTGTCACTGGTGGACTTGCGGACGTCTAGGGCGTAGTGCCTGATGAAGGTATTAGGCGTGGCCCAGGATGCGGCTCTGCAAATATCTTGCAGCTGTACTCCCTTCAAGAACGCAGTGGATGTAGCGACAGCCCTGGTGGAATGAGCCTGGACCGGGCCTGGCAGCGGCTGCCTCACCAGTAGGTAGCAGAGTTCTATCAGACCTACGATCCACTTGGATAGACGTTGGGCAGTGATTGGAGTGCCCACACGAGGTGTATAACGCAGTGGATGTAGCGACAGCCCTGGTGGAATGAGCCTGGACCGGGCCTGGCAGCGGCTGCCTCACCAGTAGGTAGCAGAGTTCTATCAGACCTACGATCCACTTGGATAGACGTTGGGCAGTGATTGGAGTGCCCACACGAGGTGTATCGTATGAGACAAACAGCTGTGACGTTTGTCTGGTGGAGCGTGTCTTATTCAGATAGAAGAGGAGGGCCCGCTTCACGTCCAAAGTGTGCATAAGGCTGTCTTCCTGTGATTTTGGGTCAGGATAAAAATCAGGGAGGAAGACTTCAGACTGCAGATGGAATTCAGAGACCACCTTGGGCAA